GGGTAGCTGCTGTCCGCCATACCGATAGTTGTGGTACTGCGCCTGAAAGCATTTGCGTCGCTCCTCGAATTGATATGTGGACTTCTCATCCCACCAGCCGTGCAAGTTGCCTGCCTTGTCATAGTTGCGGCCGTCGTCATCGAAGCCATGCACCATTTCGTGCGCAATCAAATAGCCGAGTGTGGCATACTTGAGTGCTTGGGGGTATTGCGGGCCCCAGAAGTGGCGTGGCTGTAGCAGTGCAACGGGGATTTTAATGCTATTCTCAAGTATATTGTAGGCGGGTGTAAACGAAAGCACTTCCGGCGCTTCCAGCGGCATGACAGGGCCACGCAGACGCTGTAATTTCTTACCACTCTCCATTTGCAATATTTGCTGCACATTCTCGACGTAGTTGTTGCGTGTGACTTGTAGGCCTGCATATTCAGCGGTGAAATTCTCCGACTCATAGGAGTTGATATACAAACGCATGGCATCCAACTTTTCGAGCGCATACTCGCGTGTTGAATTCGCAATCCAATCGAGTTTATTGCCATGCAGCTCTGTGCGGAAAGTCTCACGCACCTCTTCCCACACATCCAAAACCTCCCTCTCCACACGCGGATCCTTATAGCGTTGATATACCATGTAATCCACATACTTTCCAAAATATTTCTTAGTGCGCTCTATGCACCACTTGCCAACGTTACCCTTCTCCAAATCGACTAGGTACTCCTGCAGCATTTGCCAAATAATATAATTCGCAATCACATGTTTTGGAGTCTCCGCTATGACTTGAATTATGCTGACGAAATATTTTTCATCATAAACGTAAACGCTATCTGGCACTTGATCAACACCCAGCGCCAATTCCAAAAACCTCTGCAAGTCCAAGCTTTCATTGTAGATTTCCCGCAGCTTATCGACGGGTTTCAATGCGAGCAAATCGTGCAGCGTGAGCCCGGCACGCGAGTCAGAGCCACCATGTACCAGGGCACGCTCGAACTTAATCATTTCCTTGGCTACTTCCTTTGCTTTTGCCTCTTCCACACCAAAGAAACGCTTCATATGCTCCACTGTGGTTAATTCCTGTAGCACGCTGAAAATTTTCGTATTACTGCTAATCGAGAAATCCGGTGGCCCAATATAAACTTTATTGCCAGTATTATTGGCTATATCGGCCATTATGTCCACAGCGAGTATGATTTGCTTACCATATTTGTGCTGTATGTTCGCCACAGTTTCCCACCAATTGAACTCCTCCTCCTTCCAATCCTCCCCATCCAGCAGCGGTAACTTGCCAAACTCTTGGTAAGCATGTTGAAGCGACACTCTATAACGCACATCATCCTTCTTCACCAACTCACAGGCGTGGTAGAAATTCTTCACCTTTGCCTCCAGCACATTGTCATCGCGCGGTTCATTGAGTATCTGCTCGAGACGGCGATCGAAAGCAGCTGCGATCAATTGGAAGCGATCGGTCATTATGTGATTGAGCAGCTGTGCGGGGTTGTGGCGATGCCAGTTGCCGCAAGCGTATTGATAAAAGTCTACACATGGATTTACTTTTGTGTTGAGCATTACATGAATTTCTGCGGCCTTAGCTTGGCGTGAAATCTGCTTGGCCCATTCTGTATTCAAATCATCTTTCGCCGCGACTATTGTATTTTCCATGGGCGCAGCATCTGCGCTGAATTGTTGTTGTAAAAATAATAATATTGCAAACGTAACGAGACACATAGTTTTTGTGTTGTTTCAAAATAAATGTTTTCTTCTGAGCGGCTGCATTCAACCAACAGCTGTGTATGCTGAAACGAGACTGAGGCCATCCATTGCGAGCTGCCAAACTTAGAGCCATGATGGAGCATGGTGTGCAAATTTGTGTCTTATCTCGTTGTGTGAAGATAGTTTGCTGGCAGGTCACTCAGTTATCGCTGGAGAAGCTTATGGGCGGTGCGTAATCGTGCAGGCTCACAAGCAGCTGCGAGAAGAGGATTGCATGGAACTGTATTGAGTGCTATTGTCAATGAGGTGTTTGTATTGGATGTATGTATGGAGGGAAGAAGCGAAGAGTGTTTGTGAAATTATGCTAGTACCGATTTTTTCGCCAATACGCTGATTAGTTTCCATTGTTTTCGCTTTATTAAAAAAAAAAACACAAACATATGTATGTATACATTAGGGTGGCCCAAAATAAGTAAAGTCTGAATTTTTATGCTCTCACCGCCATGGAATTGTTCTATACCGAAAAAATATACCTCAATTTTTTTTCCCCACCTGCATTTTTGGACCACGCTAGTATACATACATATGTGTATTAGACCGCACCACCTTTCGAGCACTCAAAGAAAGTTCGCCATGCACCTTTGAGTCTAAAGTATTTTTGCAAGGCAATTTCGAAGGATTTTTTGCCGAGGCGCTGCCTTTTTACATTTTGCTTTGATACCTACATTCGAGCACCCCAATCGAAAAAATATGCGGTTCACGAGTTGTAAATGGGGGTCCACGAAAATTTATCTTATTTCGATAGTAAAAAACAAAACTGTTGGCTTGTAGGCAGGTAATACTAAAAAAAATTAAGGGTGCAAAGAAATCCAAATTTTTCGGCGATTTCGGCCGGAAACAGGAGCTCAATTTATACGTACATTTAATTAAAAATTTTAAAAGTAAAAGAAAATTTAATAACAAAATATAAAAGAAATTTTTAAAAGTTTAGTAAATGAAATTAAAAAAAAAAACGTGTCTCCTGTTAAAACAATAAAACCTAAAAACTTTTAAAAAAATTAAACTAAAAAATAAAAAATTAATAGAATAAAAAATAAAATGAGTTCCCAAAACTTAGATAAATGCAATTAAAAAAACTATTTTTCGTTTTAAAACAATAAAATCTGAAAATCTGAAGAAAATATAATTAAAATAAATAGAACTAAGTAAGTTTCTAAAAATTGAATTAATTTAAAATTAAATACTCTGCTACTTAAAAACAAATCTAAAAATTAAAACAAAATTAAATTAACAAATAAAAGCAAATTTAATTTAAAAAAATAAATAAATACTTAAAATAACTTTTCAAAAATTAAAATAAATTAAAAAATTATATACTGCTTTTAAAAAAATAAAGTCTAAAAATTAATAGGAAAGTAAATTAAAAAAAAAAAAAGAAAAAAAAATATTTAAAAAAAATGCTGCCCTAAAGTTCGAACATCAGCTCCCAGTGCTTTGCTCACTCGGCCATTGTGACTGTTAGAGCAGCGCGAGCAAAATTATATACATACATCTTCATTTGGCACATGGTCAAGTGCTTTCTATCCAAAGAGCTTTTCACCTTGAAAGTTGACAATTAAGCTTGTTTTTTTTAAGACTTTCTTGGCTACTGTCTTTCAGTTATCTTACAAAAGACCAGAATTGTCTTATTAGCTTATACTTATATAGGGTGTCCAAAAAGTACCATGCTAAACAAGAGGAGAAGTTAGGTGGGGGTGAGATTCCTGAAATGCAAAAACTTATCACCGTTATTGAAATATTGATATTTTTTCATAAAAAAATCGGGCCTTTTCATGTATATATTTTCTTTAACTGCGCGTACAAACAAGGCTATACTTAGTAAATTTTTGCTGTAACATACTTCCCAAGTACAAAAGTATATTACTACCTGCTCCTGACAATATTTTATGATAATTAAAAAAATAATAATAATAATTAAAGTGCTCGACATTTTTACGAAAATGTATTGATTTTTTTAAATATTGCGCAAAGTTTGAAACTACGATTTATACGGGTTTCATTAAAGAATAAGGTATATTTTTATGAAAAGAATAATTAAAATCGACCAATAATAAAATAAATATTCAAAACTTCTCAATATGTGGGTGTCCTATACTATAGTTACCAGCGCTTGTGTTAAGAGAAATGTATTTAGTTGACGTAACTAAACTCTTTACTCGGTATAATTATTTTATAGCATTTCTGCATACTTAATTAAAAAAATAATAATAATTTTGCATACACATATGTGAATCTATAACTCAGCTTAAACTATGGAAGTATATATGCGGAGGAATGCAAATTTATATCATCTTTCTTTTTTGACAGTTGGTTGAATTATTCAATTCTTTAGTCACTTTCATTTCCGTTTCTTCGCCATATTGATGTGGGAAAAGCACGTGCGGTTTTACGAGACGCCACACCATGTCAGACGCCTAAAAATATGACATTGGAAATGCATATGCATCTACATAGTTTATAAGTATGTATATGTCCTTATGCACATTAGGGCGGGTCGAAAAACACAATATGTTTGATACGAAAGAAGAAAAGAAATTCTGTTTCTCTGCGACAATATCTTCAGTCTGCGGCATGAGCTTGAAAATTTAAAAAAAAGAGCGGGAATGCCAATTTTTCAAATGTTTATAACGACTTTTGTAGATCCAATCCGGAACTTATTACCTCTCATAAAATCATGAAAAAACAAATTGGGTAAATTAAAAGAAAGTAACATCAAATTTTTAAGAAATTATTGTTTATTTCCTACCAAATTTATTAATTGGTTAAAATATTTATGTCACTTACTTTTAATTCGCTCAATTTATTTTTTTTTTATGATTTTATGAGAGGAAATAAGTTCCGGATTTGATCTACACAAGTTAAATTAAAATTGTTGGTATTCCCACCCTTATTTTCAATTTTTCAAGCTTATTCCGCAATACAATTTTCGTAGCAAACATTTGTTCGTGTTCGACCCGCCCTAATGCGGGTACATAGGTACATGCATTTGTATTGGCGTTCATCACTGAAGGAACAATGAAGATAATTGTCTAAAAAGCATAATATAAATTGTGTTTTAGCTACACCATTTAGGACGCAAATATTTTATTTTATTGCATTCAATATTTCCTAGAGTCCTGTTATGCCTTCTTCGTTTTCCAAACTAACTCTATCCCATTACTAATCACTCATACATATTCAACATATGCTTCATCTCATTTACTTATGTATATTTATTTATGTTTTACTATTTGCAGCCATACCAATTTTCTACATTCTGGCCATTGTGCCTGGTCTCATGCCATGGGAGCAAGAATATCGTTTCTTATCGTTTTGCCACCTGGCCGGTTCAGTGGCGCCATGGTGCGGCAGTTTTTTCTATCATCTCTTCATGAATATTGACCGAGGCGAACATGTTTACTACAGGCTGCTGAAATTGGATATGGTCGGCATATGGGTTAGTCAAAGTTTTGGTAAGTACAGAAAAATCACACTTAGTTAAGTAATCTTGTCCATAAATGTTTACTTTATTTTCAATATTTCAACGAGCAATAACAAAATTGCTGAAACATGAAGACATTATTATTATTTTTTTTTTCAATGATAACTGATGATGAGAAACGATTTCTGTACAACAACGCAACCGGTCTTGGGCGAGAGATGATGTTTCACCTTTAATAAGGAGGACTTCAACAAAGGAAGGTTGGAAGCGATCTCCATGGAACCGACCAAACAACTCGGATGAGTACCGTTGGCAATTAAAAGGCTTTAATAAAGCGACCTCAATTCGGTGATTTCCCCATATAATTCGATACCCTTCGGAGGTTGTCAATCGTAAAGGAGTGGTGGCAAGATGGCACACATCTGGTGGAGGACACGTTGCCTAGGGTGGTGCAAAATAAGTAAAGTCGGAATTTTAATGCTATTTATACCCAATTTTTTTATTTTGAAATCGAAAAATATTTAGATGTCGCTCAAGGCGCTCAAAGTTTTCCATGTATTATATGTGGGGAAAAAACACTTTTCGTAGAAATAGTATAGAATAAAACGCCCAGCATACTCGACTTACCTTGCTCCCTCAGAACTCCGCTCGTTTCTTATCGACAAATAGGTATACTAGTGGGGTCACTAGCAGCCAGTTCAAGCTAACCTATCACTCTTTGAAACTAATTTTCATCTTTTCCAGCAAAGCTAGTGTGGGGAGTAAATTTTTTTAAAGAATATTTCCTGCTATAGAGCTAACATTAATTTAAGAAATAACAGCGCTGCGTCATTTAAACATACTTAAATCATATATGCTAACCCCTTAAAAGTTCACTCCAACGTTAGGATATTGTTGAAATAAACCACTTAGGAGCATTTGACCTTTTGCGTTTTTAAAAAAACCTGCGATACTGTGCGATGCATATTTTGAGAAACCTTGCTGAAAATACTCAAATTTTGTAAAAGCATTAGAAAATTTCTGCGCATAAGGGCATTTAGCAGAACGATTTATATTAACAAAAAGGATTTTGTAAAACAAGTACAAAACGGGAGTATTATATTTAAGTAATTTTTAGTCCGATGATTCCGAGTATATCCTTAGTTTTTAAAAATTCGCTTTTAGTCAACATCGGGCAAGTCCTTTAGCATATTTATATATAAAGAAAAAAATGAGTGGGATGCAATGAAGGTTAAATAATTTTTTTCAACAAACTAGATGGTTTAGAATCACCATCAGCGAGCTCAAATACCGAGTTCAAGAGACTTAAACCACTTTATTTGAAAATAAAAAATTGAAAACAGAATCGTAATCAGTGAATAAAAAAATTTTTTCAAAATTTTTTTACCAGCTTGTTTGATTTTCCGACCACTGTGCGGAACCACGCAAAAGCTCTCTCTCTCTTTCATATATTATGTTTCCAAAGTTCTGTGTATTATTTAATTTTATTACAAGTAAAAGCACTTGATAACAGTGCGAACTCACTCATTTAATTAAGATTAAATTGTTTGCTTCTATTATTAGTATAAAACACAAACATATACATGTGTATTTACCATAATTAATGGGAAGCATAACAAATTGGCATTGAACTTCTTGATTCCATATGTAAATATTATCATCACTTCCGCAAATCGATTACAAAAAAAAAACAAATAATATTCCGACGAATTGATAACATGCTCCTTTTTTGTAATCGGTTAAAAAAAGAACAATAAATAAAAATAAATCAACTTAAATGTTATGTATGTAAGAAATTTATTAAACTACTCATAACCCGTTTACACATAGCTCCTTGTGCGAATATGTAAATAGGTATACTCGAATAATACACCATAGTTAGGAACTTTGCTTGCGGCTGCTAATTTAACCGTGCACCGCGCCCTATGCAAACCTTAACCACAAGTATACCTGCGAGCGATTTAGGGAACTCTTACAAAACTGACGGAACTAAGAAAAAACCAAGTGGTTCAATAAATTACACACTTTCGCCTCGGATTCATTCGTACATCCGCTCGACACTTGAATTCCAAAGCGAATTCATCAAAATTTGACAGCATCGCAACAACGCGCACCTCCTCAGGCGCATGTTGATCGATGGCAACTATAATTTGCCGCCAGTTTCGATTCACATCGGTACACCAAACTTGCGCCAAACTCACGAAAAACAATTGACGCGGCGTGAAATCCATATTCGGCAACGTTTCCTGCAGTAACGCAGTCGAATTGTGACTTTGTTGCAGCAACCATTGCTGGAAGGCTGCATAGGCAATACGCACACCCACATTGTCGGCGATATTCTCATCTTGCGCATTTGTTTTCGGCAATTTGCGTCCGTTGTAATGGTACTCGCCATACTGTTGCTTGAAACAGTCCTTGCGCTTGGCGAACTCTTCGGTAGAGCTGCGATCCCACCAATTGTTCAAATTACCCTTTGCATCGTATTTACGTAGTATGGCATCGAAGCCATGCGCCATTTCGTGTGCCAGTATAAAGCCAATGGTACCGTACTTCAGTGTAACGGGATAGGCGTCGTCCCAGAGAAAGAGCGGCTGCAGGAATGCGACTGATATAAGCACTTTATTATATTCAGCCGCGTAAGCAGGCGTGAAATTAAGCGTTTCTGCTTCATCCAACTTTGGTGGCTCCATCAAACGTAGGCGATAATTGCGACCACGTACCTCTAAGATATTGATGACGTTATCAAAGTATTGGTCTGTGCTAATGACCAGATCACCATAAAGTTGCTCGAAGTTTTCCTCTTCATATGCATTTATCTCCATTGACATGGCCGAGAGTTTTTCCAATGCTTTATCGCGCGTTACTTCCGACATCCAATCGCTATCAGCTGATTGCAGTAGATCACTAAATGAACTCTTTAGCTCTAACCATAGACTTTGCAGCTCAGCAGTCATGCCCGTATTATGTGCAGATAGTTGCCGAAATACCATGCGATCTAGGTATTTGACGAAGAAGCGTTTCATACGATCGACACAACGATTTTGATGTTTCACATCTGAGTCATTCGCTTCCATACGGAAATCCTGTAATAGCTCCCACATAATGTAATTGGCCACGACCTCTTTGGGCGTATCCTCGATAACTTTACGCAAATTGTCCAGATAAGTTTCGACATATTCGTAAACGGGCAGCACATATGGATGTCCCAGCCAAACGTTGACAAAATGTGTGAAATTCAGCGTTGGTTTGTAATTCTCCGTCATCGCATCCAGTAGCGTCAATTGTGCTTTGTCCTCCATGCCCAAGCCCTTCGTGGCATCGAGCTTTCCTGCCGCAAGTCGCTTTTCGAAATCAACAATCTCCATTGCTGTCTTGGACGCCAACTCCATTCGCATGCCCAGTATCTCGTGCATCTCCAATTGCCTGGCCAATGCCAAGGCCACATAGTAGTCGGTCGCGCGCGCTGTTACCAACTTATCCAGTTGTCCCAAGTATAACCGATTCAATTCGTTATTGGTCAGGTCGGCAAAAATGTCTGCACCAATAATGATTTGTTTGCCATATTTGCGCAGAATGAGTGCAACAACTTCCAGCCAATCGAATTTATCTGCCTGCCATTGTTCGCCCTTCAACGCTGGCATGCCACCAAACTCCTCCAGCACGGAAAGCAACTTCTGACGATAGTTCTTACGCAATTCCGCTTTATTCATACACGATTCAAAGAAGTATTTTACCTTGCGATCCATCTCTGATTCGTTTGTGCGCTTGGGTTCGCGCATCAAACGCACTACACGCCGGTTATAGGCCTTCTTGAGTACATTGAAGATGCCTGTTTTGCCATCCGAAAAGCTTGCCGGATTGATTTTAGGCCAATTACCGCAAGAGTAACGATAAAAGTCATCGCACGCATCCACTTGTGGCTGCATATAATTTCGCATTTCTGCAGATTTTGAGCGACGCAGAAGTTCACGCTCCAAATTCGTATGGAAATCGGTGGTGTGAATGTGTCGCGCGGCAAAGGCGAATGTAACACAATAACAACATAGAGCGAATACAAACGGCAAAAGGAACCAAAACTGCTGTTTGGTTGTTGAACACATTTTCGAAACGACTACCGATTTCGGACTGATGCTTTACATTTTTTGTACTTCACGCTTAGAAAGCGCGACTGTTTCATTTCGTATTTGGTTTGTTTACAAACACGCGAAAGTCGGGAAAGTAGCTGTCGGCCGAATTTAATTCGGAACTGGCCAGAGGTTATCAGCCGCTTATATGTGTGTACATACCTACATATGTAAGTACTCGCTTTAACACAATGCTTATACATATGTACTTATATTTGTTCTCAATTAGCAGATCAATAATGTACTCGAACGGTGATTGTATTTTTATGCGAAGCTGTTTTTTCATAGCAGAAATACACTCGGAGGTTTGCCATTGCCTGCCGAGGGGCGACCGCTGTTAAGAAAAAACCCTTTTTTCTAAATTTTTTGCGATGTTACTTTTACCAGGGCTTGAACCCAGGTGCTGCGGAGTGGAAGCGCGCACTGCTTACCATTACACCACAGCGGCCGCATTTTTATTTTAGGTGTGCGTATAAATAGTACTACGCAATTACAGCGAACAACATCCCAATAAACGTTGAACAATCAATATTTTCCAAACGGTTTTTAAAAAATTGTTCCAAACTAGTTTGTGAAATATTCAGCGACCTTAACAGTTATAACTTTTATTCAAAAAATAACCTTTTAGTGTTATTTAGTGAGTTTTATTTTGGATAATGGAAAAAAGGTTCTGAACTAAAACGATGTTTGCATGTATGTAAATATTTATATAAAAAAAATTATTCGAACAAAAAGGTTGGTAGGCACAAGGGATGCCAACTCATTTTATCTTTCTCCCCGTTGGCCACCGCGAAATTTCACGATTTTCGGTGAAATTCCGCGCACTAGCATGATTCCATTAAAAAAAAACTCAAATTTTCTAATTCAATTGCTCGAATGTATTAACGAATGTACATATAATATTTTAATGTTAAATTTTTTTTTATTAAAATATGTCTTATGATATGTATAACGTACGCCATATAAGTCAAAGTTTAAAACTTTATTCAGAACTCACAAAACTTCAACAAATTAAAACAAAATTTCATCAAAATTTTCAACTTTTTACTCGTAATTTTTAGAAGCCAATTTATTCTAGTATAACACCGTTCGATAGTAAATTTTACACACAAAAACATGAATATATTCGCGAAACTATTGGTAAATTATAGTAAATCTGCGTACTTAGTTCTTCTCTCGGACGTCAGGATTTTTTTAAAGGACTTTGAAATTTAAAAAATATGATAATTTCAAAAAATCTTTTTAAAAAATTCAACGCAATGTAGGATAACAATAACTATATAGTATAAAAGAAAAATTCTGTAAAATTATAACAGAGTAAATTTTTGTGTTGCATAAGGACGAATGAGTATGGAAATTTTGTCCTTAAATATCCTTGAAAATTTGCAATATTTTTTTTTGAAAAAATTATTGTTTGAGAACTAATATACGCACGACCTCATCATCGAATTTCGTCCTGCTAACTTTATTTACTTAAAAAGATAAAATTTATTAAAAGCGCATTTTGAATACCTATTCGTCCTTTTAAACCAAAAAGCTTTATTGTTTTTTAATTCTACAGATTTTTTTCTCTCATTTGGTATCCATATTGTTATTCTACATTGCACTTATTTTTTTCAAATATTTTTTTTTAATTTTAAAGTCCTTTGAAAAAAATCCTGACGTCGGAGTGAAAACCTAAATATGTATTTTTACTATATCTGGCACATAGCTCCGTGAGTATATCGATTCTTTCATGTGTTATGAAATTTTTTCGTTTTTGACGCACAGTGTAGTAGTGTGCACGTTTGAAGGGCTAAAAATTACCTTTGATTTTTGATATTTTTTTATGCTGGGGCCTTTCGCACTTTCTTCCACTCGGTTCTCTTGATAAAATCAGATTAGAGATTAGACATATGTATTTATGTATATATGTAGTATTATTATTTAATGTTAGCTAATGAAAATGTCATACTTACATATATTAATAAATGAATAAATAATTGCATTATTTAATATGTATGTATATATATGTAAATGAATATAAGTAAAATTAAAAAAAACGGCAATCTGTAGGCGATTCTGTAACTCTTAGCATTAAAAAAGTTGTTAGGTTACTTAACCACTTTTGCTCTTTGCACTAAGAATTGTGTGATTCTCTTGCTTAACAACGAACGAACAGCTGATTATTTCTATATTACGAAAAAAACTTATTCCCTTCCCGCGGAAACAGAACTCCGTTGGCGTTAGTTCAAAAGGATTGTCGATTTCCCGAAGCCGACGCCGGTCAATTAATGGCACATTCATGCAGAGTCCGCAAAATGCTCCGGAGGGTTGTCCGGATGATGCATCAGACTAGGCCGACATTCTTTGAACTGCCATCAAATTATAACTTAAGAAAGTTTTATTACATGGCAGTTGAGAAGTGCATGTGCAAATTTTTCATAAACTTAATTAATGAAATGGTGTTAGCAGTCGCATCTAAAAAGTATATTAAAAACTGTTTTTTCAAACATGAAACACAATTGATAAATAAGAGATTAAATACTCTGACTAACATTTGGAATATTTTTTAAGTTTTGAAATTAAGTTTTGGTCGTTTTAACGCCATCCGGGTTCACTAGTAAAGTAACCATGATTAGTTTTTGCGTAGTACTTTCCACTGCAATTGTGCAGAGAATTTCTGTCTCTACAATGTGGTATTTTTATCTTTTCGATTAATGCATTTGCAGTCAGAGCTCTTGGCGTTGAGTTGAACAAAATTTGCTAGTTTTTCATTAATTTAAAATTTCGAAAAAAAAATAGATCCCATTGTTATACCATTATCGGGCAAAACTTAAAAATAAAAGAAAATCAATCGATACGTTTTTTTTGGAAATCAACATTTTATATTAAAAATTTTTAAATTTGATAGAAATACGGGTTTGAAAGATCTTTCAATTTTAAATGCCGAAAAAGTTTTGGAAATATTTTTCTTAAAGTCATGGGCATTACAACAAACAGGAACTGGACAACATTTTTTTTTTTTTACCAGGCCTCTTTCAATTGATACTATCACATAAAAATTAAAAAAAAAAATCGAAGATGCAAATGCCAAATGTATAAATATATGTCATTGATATTTCCTAATGTGGAAATTTTTTTGGGAACTAAAGGACGGGGCTAATAAGCTACAAAAAATGCCATTTAAGTATTATACCAGCTATTATTATATAAATTTTTTTTTCTTTTCAGGTGCTTTGCCGCTAGTCACAGCTACGACGTTTTGCTTTAACTTTACATTGAAATGGTTCATCATAATATCGTACTGCTTGCTATCTCTTTGGGGACTTTATAAAGTGAGTACACATCTGCCAACTACATAAGCATCATCATAAATTGCGTATGTACTTAACCACTTTGATAAATATGAAAATGAATATGTATGTATGTATAGGAAAAAAAACTTAAAAGAGTTAATAAAAATTAAAAATATTTTCCAACTGTCATAGAAAAATATAGAAATATACAAATGACTACTTTCAGCGGCATTTTTTTGCCGCCTGTGTACCGCTGATAAATATAATTACTCATACGCCTAGGCAGATACTTTTTCGGAGCGTATTGCCCATATTTGTCCAATATTTGTTGTATTTGTTATCGACTCCCTGATATCTGTTATGGAGTCGATCACGTTGATAACGATGTTTAACCTACAGTTAGTGTTAACCGGACAATGAGAAACTGGCCCTAAAACTTCAATAATTTGCGATAACTATGTACTTTTGTATGTATGTATATACGTAAACATGTATTACTGCCATCTTTTGGAAATTTGCCTAAAATATTAGTATCGAACCTAATTCTCTAAATGCACAAAGCGTGCTATTTTTGGCCCTATTTTACTTCAAAATGGCACTTTTGAAAAATAGTGCTTTTGCTGAACTAAATTCTTTTAATTTCTAAAGTTTATACAACTTATTTATCTTATTTTGGCATTTCACTTTTGGTTTAGAAATTCCTTATTTTATTGTTAAATGGGAAAGATTGGCACCTTTCTTGGCTTTTCTATTTTTCTGTTTGGCACTTTTTTATCCTCAATATGGCATCTCATAGCTAAGTAAGTGTTGTTGGCAGCCCTGGAAGTCATACTCTGTAATTAGCAGAGATTAGTGGTGTAGTGAGGATAAATTCGAATGCCCAGAATTTGTGAATTAATTCATTCTCCGGTTGAGAGTGAGAGAATTCGGAACTCGCTTAGAAAAACAGAAAATCGATTTAAATAAAGTTTAGTGTGTGCTTATTTTGAAGCCTTTGCAGATATAAAAAAATCGAGATTTTTATTTTGTAGCTAATTTAAAAGTGTAAAATATTCTAGCCTTATCAGGCCAATCACAATTTTGACGAATAATCATCTTTCCCAAATCTTCAAAGTTTCTGCAAAGATTTAAAACGGTGCTAAACACGCGGCCTCCATTTTAATAGTTAAAAATTATCGAAAAAATACAAAATAACAGAAATTTCACCGAATAAAATTTGAAATTTTACGATACGATTATCCTTGATGGAAGAAATCATAAAACAACAAGTTTTAATGATCCAAAAATATGGATTTAAAATATTATCATGTAATTTTACATAAATAAATTCGCTAAACTAACTCGAGATTAACTTTTGATTGAAACCGTAGAAATTTTACTGCTTCAATTAAAATTGATTACTTCACGCTATTCACGCTACTTAATAAATTGCATTCTAATGCCAAATATTTAACAAATTTCCCGTTTGTATCCGTTTAATTTTGCTCTTCACAATACAGGCCCTAACTGCAAGTTCACCTTGGCAACGGCGTCTCTGCTTCGCTCTACCCTTCACTATGCGTTCAATATTGACATTATTTCGCACAATAGGTGTATGGGTTGGTGGAAGTCGGTTAGCGCTTTCGCACGTTTATCTGCAGGTGAGTGCCGGAAGTAAAAAAAAAAAAACTATAAATAAATAAATGAAATGTAATAAATAAGAGAGAAGAATACTTTAAAAGCATTCTGACAAACAAATAACCAAATGAAAAGAAAAGGCAAAATAAATAAACGTAGCAAATAAATTTCTTCTAAACTCTACATTTTTATTGCTGCAATTTATTATTTGCGCCCTCGCACCTTTTTCGTATTTCCTTTGTCACGGTGCATATTTTTTTTTCAACTATAATTTGCATTGAGATGCTCTACGCTTTTTTACTTATATATATATATGTACGTATGTATGTATCTAGGAAATGTAAGCTTTTTTAATAACTATTAAATTAAATCAAGACGAATGAAATATTTCTTTGACTTTTAATGAAAAAGTAAACTTCGTTTATATCCCTCTCAATCATTTTTTATCAAATATTGTTTTAACTACATATATTCTTTTTAAAGAACTTTATATTATAAAAATTTAATCACCTATATGCTATAGCAAAAATATCAATATTCGCTACTTGATCACTGATATGAACTATTTATGTTTCTGTGCTTCTACTCTTCTTCTTAAACATAAATGCTACCAAAATATCACAAAAATAACAAAAATTCCAGTTAGAAGCAGTGAGTGATATTTGTTGTAAATTCGTGAATTGTTTTTTTGTTTTAATTGGCGTGAATTTAGTTAGTGCGATATTATTCGTTAATTTTCGAAGAGAGTCTTTAAGAGTTTTAATTATTGAAAGTGCACTCACAAATATATTTACATTAACTAAAGCGAATAATGGGATTTTAAATCATTACCAACGGCATATGCAATGCGTCTTGGGTAAAATTTACTACTTGTGAATGCTGGGAGATCGGCGAAATTTTCGGAGTGGGGTCGGAATACTTGCAAAAATATTTATATGAAACTAAATCAGCTATTTCGAAAATATCGTCGGGTGCTGGATGAATGAGAAAAGGCACTAAAAGAAGTTTCCCATAATTGTATGCCTCGCGCTTTTTACGAGTACCAGGATTATTCAAACTGATTTAGGCTTTATAAAAACTCCATGCGAAGGAATAAATAAAAAAAATCGTATTTTTGCGCGCGCTGACTTAAAATTTAAGATAGCGAACACGAAATATAGCGACAACGAAATTTTCATATGGGACCGAAAGAAAGAATTTATCGTTTCATTTGAAAAAGTCTAATGTAAATATTTTAAAATTGTATTTCGAGAGAACTTTGTCGTTATAAGAATGTTCGCCCTAGTCACGCTCATAGCTTGAAGGTGTGATACTTCAAAATTACTTTTCAGCGCTATTTTAATCCGACTCCCCTGTAATCGTTTTGTACTATTTTATTTTCTTTGTTTTTACAGTTGAACACAAACAAAATTTAATACAAAATATTTTAACATTTGAATTTGTTAGTTGTGCCGGCTCGAGGTCAAATGTTTGTGGAAAATTAGTTAAAGCATATGTTTTTTTTTATTTTCTCCGATATATATCGGTTACACCGCAGTAACCCTCTTCAGCTCTGACAGTTTTTAAATCTTATTCAACGCGTTTTCACACAAATTAAGCTTCAAAATGACGTTTCTCTACATCCAAATCGAAGTCATCGATTTTTACTAAAGTTTATTTTGCAGAGCTCTTAAGGATTGTGCTCAAACAACTTATCTGCTTCCTCCTCACTGCCATACTCACCGATTTATTCAACTAGTATAAAAAAAGATGCATTAATTATATTTTCAAGATTAAACCTTCTTAAGCTAATTTTTATTTCCATAATTTTTATTTTTAGAAGACGAATAATATTTTTCATTGCATTTTCCACTGCATTAGCTAACAGCCATCCTTAAATTAGGGCGCTAAGCGTTGCGTCTTCTAGCGCCAACGAGCGACAGCGCGCGTTATCTCTAAATAGGCACACACACTTTCAGACGTTTTCTCATTTCCTTTGGTTTTTTTTTTGTTCTCACTATTGTCCTATTTATAAAGAAAATTACATAACGGCTATTTCTACAGCGTGTCTAGGACGGAAATTTTTGTTTTGTAATATTTCTCTCAGAATACCTTAACAATAAACAATTTGCCAAAATCTCGATTAATCTTTATATTAATTGCGAAATTTATATAGAAGTCATGCCACAATATGGTTTGCGAATAAACCTTTAAGCAACAGATCTATTAGCTAACCAGGCGAGAATATGCGTTACATAAATCTTCTCATCTCACTACTAGTAAAAATACTACATTGCCTATTTTTCCTCACACTTCAAAATTTCAATAAATATGACCCTTCTGTGACCGCTGCTCTACATTTACGGTCAAGAAGTACAAACAGAAAATGTGTATAATTAAAATCGTGTGCAAATCTGAGCCCAAACACCGGGTATGTATTTTTTGTGTGGCGACAATCCTAAACATTCACCTAAAAAGTAATTCAAGTCACCAACGTCATTAGACCGTAGCCGCAATTTAATGAAGCACGCGACAATCGACACGCACTTGTGACCCTGACGATAAAAGGAGCGGTTGCAAAAATGTGCGCTATACCGTTAAACAAACTTTCACTTAAACACAACTACAAACATAACGGCACTTACAAAGTTTGTTTACTTGTATATAAGTATAGATACATACACAATATGTATGTATGTATGTGTGTGAGCGCACTTTCAAAAATTAATTAGAAACTCCAGTTTTCGCTTTAAAGATTAGTTATACACAACTAAATAATTCACTAGTAGTTTGTTGTACTAATTTGTTGACAATCAGGGGTTTATTAAAACGTACTTAAATTGTCCTCTGTCCCAACAGGATGGCGTTTCAATATTGGGTGGCGCTATAGGCGCAATGCGAATACCAGAAAAATGGTTTCCAGGCGTTGTGGATTTCTATTTAAATTCGCATAACATTATGCACGTGCTGGTGGTGGTTGCGGTGTATTCAATGCATAAGGTAAATGTCATTTAAATGTCATTAAATATGTATACACACATATACATATGTAAACGCATGCAGGTGCTAGTATGTATGTACATTAGGGCGGCCCAAAGAATGCATGCGTCGGGGAGAAAAAGTAAAGTCGGAATTTGTATGCTCTCATATCATATTGTTCTATATCGAAAAAAATATTTAGAGGTCGCTCAAAGCGCTCAACGTTTTCCCTGTATTTTATATGGAAAAAAACACTTCACTCTTCAAAAGATGCCCAAAAATAATACCCAATTGTTTATTAAACCATTTTTTATAGCAACTATATTTTACAGGTCCGCCAAAAACGCTAGAAAATGCAATGGGGGCCATTAAAAATTCTTTGGTATTACAAAATGGTTACAAAAAAAAAAAATTTGATATTATTTTGGGGGCCTCCAGAAGAAAATTAGATTTTTGCGGTAAAAAAAAAAAAATATTTTCAAGAATCTATACCATTTTTACCAAAACTTATTTTTCCCCCGCATAACATACATGGAAAACTTTGAGTGCTGTGAGCGTCCTCTAAATGTTTTTTCAAATGGTATAGTATTTTTTCGATATAGAACGATTTTACTTTATTCTGACCACCCTAATGTACATACATACATATGTCTAACTAATTCAAATTTATTTTAATATTCCAACAGGCAACTATAAAAGACTTTGAGTGGATGTCGGCAACGAAATGTGATGCTGCTGTTGCAAATGACACCGGCGTAGCAATAGATACTACTTTTACCTCAAATGTGGAACTATGACCTCTTAACATTCGAAAAAAAAGTATTATGTAGAAAATTATCAGATTATAGTTATGTATTTCAGTGCAACTATGTACATATATGTATATATACATATTGAATTGTTAAATTTAGAGAACGCCCAGAAATAAGAAATAGGCAAATTTTAAAATATAAGTATTCAATGTTTTTGCAATAAAAAATATGTAATATTTAGAAAAATATTTAGTTAAAAAATGTATTACTTATAATAAAGTATGTAAAACAAATTTGGTTATTGAGCGGCAGTGAGATTTTATAAATCGCTACGCTAAATGTCCAGTGCAAGTAATGCTATATGTAAATTAATAAATGACAGATGTGCTTAAAAATATACAAAACCTCGAGAGTAATATCACTTGCCTCTCTTAAACCCCCATTTAATATTGCACCACTTAAGCTTTCGCTTTGTAAGTATATTTTTGAGCACACCTATTACTCATTTAAGGATTAGCCGCTTAGCGATTTTTAGAATCCCATAACGGGTAAATTGCAGAACAATTGCATTGCGAATACTTGCAGCGCCTACAAATAATAATGCAATAAATTATAATTTACTCTTAGAAAAATTATCTCCAAACATATACATACGTAAATATTATATGTAGAACTAATTTTAATTCGAGTATTAGCCATGATGAACAAACATAAAAATGTAAGTATTTAAAGAACAAAGCGTATTGTCAATAATTAAACGTTAAGCAAAAAGTTAAACCAGTGAACACTACACTTCGTTCCATGACTATATCACCACTTGAGTTTGCCAATTATGCTAAAAAGATAGGCTGGTGGATAATATAATGTTAATCGAAAATAAATGATTTAACAACTAAAAACCAACAACGATATTTTCTTTCAATTTGGGGTTGATTTTTTACAAGTGGAACAAACAATTAAATATACGATTTTACAACTATATCACCATTAGTTGTGCTCTTACCTTTCTGGGGTTTTTAACACTTTATCAAGTAAATGTATTTCGGCGCCTGAGTGGAAAGTCTATCTTCTATAAGTTCGATTTTTGCATCACTCTGATTCTCAAGCTTATTGTGGAGCTTTACTCTTACTTACATGATTTTAGTGCAGAAATTATTTTGGAGTGGGACGTGGTGTTATAGTTATGATACGGAGTGTATATATACATACATAGTAAATTATGCAGATTCATAGACACACATTTATATATGTACGTGCCGTACATAATACATCTAAAATTAACTCTACAACTGTGGTATTACATTTTAAGCTAACAACAAAAAAATGTGAAAGAGTAAAACATCTACATACATACCTGTTTAACAAAGCAACAATAATTAATTATATTTTACTGTAAAAAAATCTTTATATATATAATAAATAATTGTACATACATACATATGTACATATGCAGTGCACTGCAGGGACGCTAAAATTATACAAAAAACGCCGAGACAAGTATACTTAAATTTGGGGCGTAGATTGCGGATCTGTACACCATTTTCCTAGCGAAGGTCATTTTCCCAAGATGTTTTCATTTTAAGTTTGCTTTACGAATGAAAAAAATTCAAACTCGAACATGGAAAATGATGTTACTCATACGCCATGTACGAGTACGGCTATGCACGATATGGCGTATGAGTAACATTATTACCTGCTCCTATTTCATACAAAAAAGTTATTGCACATTTTCATTTAACCATTCAAAAGTTGTTTATTTATCCATCGATTTTCATGGTCAGTAGCTTAACTTTTTTGCAAAAGAATGGGCTTTCCTGTTACAATTTAGGAAAATGGTATACAGATCCATAAACTACAACCCAATATTAAGTTCACGTGTTACGGCATTTTTTTGTGTAATTTTCCCTACAGTTTCTAATATTTTAGCAAATTTTAAAAATTTTTGTAATAATTTTTTTTTTTGATATTTTAAAACAATTAAAAACGTAATGCTTTAGTCATTAACGTTTGTAACGTGTTCCAATAGCGTGGGCCGAAAATCCGCTTAAATCGAGATAAGCAAAGAAAACATGTTTTTACCACCACTTGAAATTTGATTTCCAGCCTAAGATATTGACCAAAACTTGCCATCTTTCACACAGAATGTTTTTAGAGCAGAGTTCTAAAAAAGTGGACTTTCGCCCCATGCTAGTGTTCAAATACATACTGTCTGCATTTTGTGAGAAGAGTGCGCACAAAAATTTGTTTTGCAAAATGAGACCACGTTCGACAGATGATCAGCGAGAAATTGTTCTCAGCCATTTTAAAAGTGCCCATACGCGCAGGAAAATTGGTGTGTTCTACCGTGCAGATGATATTCCGATTTGTCTGCAAAAGTATAGCCCACGATAAGGGAAGAAATGCCCCAATAAAATATTCACTTCAACGGAGGGACGCTATATTGTCCGTAAAATCCGGACAAATCCAAAACTATCACCTACGAAAATTCAGTCATTCACTTATCGATAATTTTTCGATTTTGTTATCGATAATTTATCGATTTTATTATCGATATTTTTATCGATTTTGTTAAAAAAAAATTAACGAGATATTTAAGGAAATCGATTGGCGGATCACGCTGATCGTAGAATATCTTAATGGCCGCAGACATCATTGATCCATGAGCTGGCTCCATTGAGTCTTACTTCAGCAATAACGGCCGCTCCGGGCAATTCGATCGAGCGGAAGTAGATAAGAAGATCGCTTTTAGGCTGTATACAGCGCTCGGGTCCATTTTTTGCTAAAGCATTTCGTCTGATGAAATTAATATCGCGACTCCAGCGTCATCTACCGGCACCATTTTATGCACAAGTACAATACATGAAGATTTCATAAAAAAGCATGTGCATTATGGAAAATTGCAAGTCAACGGAATAACAAGAACATTTGAAACCAATTTTAGATCGCAGACATAATTAGATTGAGATGAAATGTATGTTTTTTTCTAATCTAACTTTTACTATTATTTGTAGTTTTCTTAATCTTGGTCTTAAGAATCTTACCAAAATGTTCACGTAAAGAAACAACTAAAATACAAATCCTTGAAATGTAAATATATTTATAAGCACATATCGTCGTTTAAAGTACAAAACCGCGTATGTGAGGTTGCATAAATTATTTTCTAGAGAGTAAAAACACTCATATTTCAAAATGGTTCGCTTTTTTCATAAATCAATCGCATTTCTGGCTAGTATAATGGATAAGGATTGAGCGTGTGTGAGCAAACCCAGTTTTTGGCAGCAAATGTCAGTTATGCGGCTTTGCAGAATGACGATACGCGGTTTTGTACTTTAAACGACGATATGTATATTGTAATATGAATTTCATTTGTTAATGAGAAATAAAAATTGCTAACTAAAAAATAAGACTAGACTAGATCTGTTTTTATTTATGTATATATTTTTTTTTAGTTTTCGGCCAATAAAACATAAGAAATCATTTCGGTAAGTATCTAGCAAGTAGTGCACATTAAAAAATAAAATATTTACTGTTAAATGGATCATGAGATGTCTTAAACGTCATACTTTCTTAAAGTCGTAAAAACTTTGAATGTAAAATAAAAGTCTAAATTGTTTTATAGGGCTCGAACGATATTATAAGACCTAATTCTAAATATATTTTCAAAAATCTTGACGTTTTTACATATCCCAAAAACAAGTAAGTGCGCCTGGGCCACACTGTTGAAGTGAAACTTACGTTACATATTTAATTTTTGTCATAATCAATTTATCGAGGGCTTATATTCAATACAATCTATCTGCAATTTTCAGAAAAGCTACCTCAAGAGTTTACACAACCAGCCTTTGAACACGGGATCCTTAGTCCAAGAATCAAAAAAAATGCGCGTACGCTTGGTATGCATCATATTTAAGTCATCTGCGTCTAAAGCAGTGTTTGCATTATTCAACTTTGCGTTCAACAATTGCGTTCAACTCAACGCAGGGTTGCACGAAAAAAAAGTTGAATGGCTAAATGTTGGCTGGCGATCACCTTTGTTGAAAGCGATTAGTTGAAAGGCCATTCAACCAAAAGTTGAATGCAAAGTTGAACAATGCAAACACCTTTTTATGGCGAATATTTTGATATTTTTTCATATTTTGATATTTTTAGCCATTCAACTTTTTTTTCGTGCAACCCTGCGCTGAGTTGAACGCAAATGTTGAACGCAAAGTTGAACAATGCAAACACACTTTAAAGAATAAATATCTTTTGAAGCAGCTGCTGCAAAACAAAGCTTGTAAAGGTTTATTAAGAAAATAATTCAAAATCAGTTCTACTTTCAAGATTTAGTAACAGAGAAAAATTACTGGGTTAAAAAACGTCATTTTTTACACAAAAAACGTCAAAACGTCAACAGGATACAAAAGACGTCCAAATGACGTTAAAAACGTCAACCTGGCAACGCTGGTTGCAGGTTTTAAGGCCTGTATGCAGCTCCAAAAAAAGCAAAAACTCCATATAAAATGACGTACAAGAAATGGCTAAGAAATTTTCTTGAGTCAAATTTCTTTAAGGCAGTACGCAGTTCTTAAAAAATTTACTACGCTTTCTACTACGGATTTCTAACGTTTTTTGTGAAAAAAGAGCACAAGGCAACCCAGGTTTGCAACAGAAATATATGCCCGTTCCATTATTTCTGGAGGAAAGAGTGAGGCAACAGGCTGTGAGGTATCAAAAATGTCAAAATTCCTTGGACACACACGCGAAATAATGGCAATTTGTTCTTGACCGTTTTCTTGAGAGCTGCATACAGGGCTTTAGTCCGAAGTTTTTCATCCTGCAAGTTCATGAAAAGTCTCAAACGATAGGTAGGGTTGCATTTGTAAACAAAAACAGAACCTTAAGCGCCACGGAGACAATCAAATAAATACGTCAAGCATTGCATATGTATGAGTTGGCCCGCAAACGTTCAAATAAACTAGTCAATTATACAAACAATTTATTTTTCTTGTCCGCGCACTTGCTCACCACGACGATCAGAAGGCAAGTGCGCTTGTTTTATGTCAAGCATAACGCGAGACGGTTGATAAAGATATTTGATCGTCTCCATGGCACTTTACATTTAAAAAAAAAATCGAAGTAGTTACAGGAAAAGTAGTTTTTCGCGTTCCAGGTGACCTTTATTATTTCGCTCTAGCTCCTCTCTTTCAAGAGAGTAATTTTGTTATTTGACAGTTTTACAGGTTTTACACGAAGTTATCTGGAACGCAACTAATGTCAGTAGCGCGCATGCTATGGAGGTCCGCCTTAAGTCTCTAACCGATTCGCGCAAAAGCAAAACAAAAAACAGCTGATTTTGGCAAGTTAAAGAAGGGTATGAAAAAACAACCGTCCTTATCGGGCATTGGCAGGGGTGAGTGCTGTCGAAAAATATAAAGTTTTGTTATTTTTTGTTTATTTGTTTTTTGTCTCTAGCTAAATTTATTAAACGCAGATTTTTTTTTGGATATTTGGAATTCGTGCAGCAGAGCGGAGCAGCATAGCCAATGGTAAGCGCGATTAATCGCTATAAATGTGCCTGTGGTCAGGGACGTGCCGGGTCTAACGTAACATTGCTGTGCCTAGAATTTATTTTTACTCGTAAAAAACCTCGTGCGCATTCAATAATCACAATTGTGTTTCTATGTCATTAATTAGTGCAATCAACGCTAGCTAATCGACGTCTGCTAATTGCATACAGCTGTAAAACTTTAACGCACCGGATTCTAGCAATTCGTCCAACGATTACACTGCTCCCGATTTGAGAAGATGCTACCCGCTACAATCTTCCGTCAAGTGCAATGCACTCGTAATGGCCTGAGTAAGAACCTTACAGATTTGGTAATCGGCTTAAGCACAGCTGGGCCGCCCGCAAATGGTGTAAACTGTTTGAATCGTTATGCAGCCGCAACAGGCTTCATACGAATCTCATTTCTGGATTTTAATCAGCACCGTAATTGGGATATAGCGAGATTGCGTCAGTATGCCGATACAAAGAAGAAATCATTGCATTTAAGAACATTGCAGGGCCGCCATATATTGCAGGATGTGATAGACAAAAAGTGTGAAAGTTTTATTGAACGAAAGAATGTACTGGTGGAAGATATACGTGGTGCGCGGCACAAAGTGCAAGAGCGCGTACGCGAAAGAATGGAAGAGGTCATTGAGCGTGAAAATATATTGACTATACCGAATATGCTGACTGTAGGAAGAGCTTTTTTGTCACCTTACATTGGATATGTTATAGTGCAACAGGATTTTCGACTGGCTATGGGATTACTGGTGGTAGCGGGTATCACGGATTTGGTAAGCACAAATATTTTGTTTTTAAATAAAATTGCGTTTCAATAAATTAATTTAATCTCTTTAAAGTTGGATGGGCAAATTGCTAGAAGGTGGCCAAATCAAGCAAGCAAGGCGGGATCGTTCCTAGATCCAATGGCTGATAAATTGCTTATTGGATCGTTAGTCATATCAATGGGTGTGGGCGAGTTGTTGCCGTGGTGGCTGGCTGGCACTGTACTCTTTCGCGATGTCTTCCTACTCGCCGCAGGCTTTGTCATACGGTACATCAGTTTGCCACCACCAGTGAGTAAAAACTTTTATTTATATTTTGTACTTATAAACTTGGTGATGCATTTTAACGATGGTCAACAGAAAACTTTTACTCGCTACTTTGATGCTACTTATGTAACTGCTCAATTGGAACCCACGCTCATTAGTAAGATCAATACCGGAGTGCAATTAGCTACTATTGGTATCAGCTTGGGAGCTCCAATATGGAATTATATCGGTAAGCGATAACTTTAAATATCCGAACTAGTTTTGCTAATGCAGACGACTTTTCTATTGCAGACCATCCCGTGCTGCATGGGCTCTGGTATTTGACTGGTGCTACAACTGTGGCTGCCGCTCTCAGTTATATACTGAACAAAAATACATTTAAGATTATCACAAAGCGAAGGAATAATTCGTAGATGTACCGAACATTGCCAAGCGGATACATATAGTTATATATATTTTCATATACTATTTTTATGAAGATAACCAAAAACACCAAAATTTAACAAAAAGTTTTGCTGCCATGCCTTATAAAATATTGCAAAGGGTTTTTAACTTTAATAATTATTTTAATTGCGCTATTAAAATCGTAGTGCCCTGTTGAATTGAACTAGCAAGCTTTAATTAATGTTAGTAATTTAGAATGTTTTCCGTTTATTCTATTTATTTCACTTTGTGGACTCATGCGTCATCAATGTGATAATTTTATTTCCTTTTTAAGAAAAACTAAAGGCCACACTCAAATGATTTCCATTATATCGAACTATAAATCAATTTTTAAATTAAATGAAGTTGAAATTTTTATTTAAATAGCTTTTATTTTCAATTTATTACCATGCTTCAAAGAAATACACATTTACCACGCAACAGGTATTGTTCGTTATTTTTGAGCAGGAAAATAATGAATAAAATCGGTGTTTTATTGTGAAGTTGATGATAGAAATTATTAACTCTTCACGTTGTAAGATTCTGCAAAACAAATTCCCCATGAACGTGGTTTGCATTGTTTTCACGTTCGAATTCACTTTCCTTTCTTCTGCTCTGCAGCTTCAGCCTTTTCCAATTTCCTTGCTCGGTTACCAATTATCCAAAAATATAGCGAAGGAAATAAATAACGAGCGTAATATGCTAATTTTGCTTGCGAATCGGAAATCATTACATCTTTTTCCTTACCAACAATAGCATTCAAAATACGATCAGCTACCTTTTCTGGCAGCATACCAGATGCAGTAGTTTTATCCATTTCTGAAAGTAAGAATCGCAGACGTACATACATATACATACACTTTCTACATCGGAAATATATAAAACTGCCAAATAAGTACACAACCATATTACATACTTCCATAAGTTTTTCCACTGCCTGTTAGCGCATTCACAGATAATTGTGTTCGTATATATCCTGGACTAATGCATGTCACCTGTACCCCCTTATCAACTACCTCAGACCTCAACGAGTCCGAAAAAGCTTGTAGAGCATGTTTAGAAGCTGAATAGGCCGAACGATAGGGCAGAGCAAATTTTCCTTGTACCGAACTTATAAAGCAGATATGCCCACTCTTTTGTTTTAGCATCGAAGGTAGTATAGCTGTACGGAAGAACATATGTATGTACTTTTTTCAAATGAATAATTAATGTATCAAATAGTTAACCTTTTGTAATCGCTACTGAGCCAAAGTAATTAACTACCATTACTTTCAAATCAACATCCAGAGCGGAAGAACCAACCATTGCACGAACACTAATACCACCGTTATTAATAAGTATGTCAATTTTGTTATGTACGCTAAGTGCTTTACGTGCAAAGTCGGGTATGTCTTTTAGCTCGGCCAAGTCCAACGGCAAAATAACTGGTGGATATGTCACAGAGCTCTGTTTGAATAGAGTGAAAGAGAATATTCAGAAGAAAACTTACAAGTACAGAGCGTACAATTACCGCATCTAATGCTAATAAATCCTTCTTAACGCGCTCCAATTCTTCAACACGACGTGCAGCTAATATTACTTTGCAGCCGGCTTTGTAAAAAGTGTGTGCCAAAGCTTCGCCCAAACCGGAGCTGGCGCCCGTAATCAGTACTACCTATAGGATTAAGAATGAAAGCATGAATGCATGACTAGAGCCATAAAAAATATTATGATTCATCGATGAATATAGTGATAGAATTACCTTTCCAGCTAATTCACTTCGGCACTTTTTAACTCTGAGACGGTAACAGCACTCCAAGACGACGAAGGGCAGCGCAATTGGCATCAAAACCGCTCCTAAAATTAAATACAACGAACTCCAATCCCCACCGTTGCTTCCTGGAGCTGCACATTTTTCCACTTCGTCTAAAGTCATCGTTCTGTAATTTCAACTGTTTGATTATTTTTTTAATTATCTAATGCACTTTGCTCTTTCAATTTAGAACCACAGCTCCTTATAATTCTGCATACACACCTACAACAATTCTTTTATTATATTTTAAATGTTATTCGCGTCTATTTTGTTATCATTTTGTTTTGAAGTGTCATTCGCTTTTTTAAAACAGCTGTTTTTGACATGTTGTGGAAGGGTAAGTCTACTGTGGTTATGCGAAGTGCTTGGGAAGTGATAAATTGGCCGAAGTCAGGTGGATTTAATTGGTAGAGGCAGGAAAATGAGTGTTCTGCTGCTAAATACACGTCGACATGCAATTAGCTCCCTAGGCTCAGCATATCAATCATTACGTTCCTTAAAAAGCGTTAGCGATCGACATTTCATACACACAAGTGCCATACGGTCAACCTTCTGGGAAAAAGAGAAAAAATCTGGTTATAAAACAGAGGTGACACTGCCATCTCGGAAGCAGCTGATAGTTGATGGATTTCGTGAGCTGCGGGAAGAAGTACAGCTATGGAAAGAAGAAATGAAAGAGAAATTCGAGAGTGATCCCATACTTGTATATCGGCCAGGCGAGATAGATGTAGTGTTCGATTTCAAAGACGAAACTGCGCTGGACAAATGGGTTGTAACAACGGATGCCGATCATCGGGAAGGTAAAAGTATGGCGAAGCTGGAATTAAGTGCAGCTGGAGCTGGGCTTTTCCATGGTGATGTCAATTCGGAGCACGTTAAGGATGGTATAGTGAAACGAACTGGCTACGCGAATATACGGACAAAACGAGTGCGGGTAAGGAATATTCTAAACAATTGGGAGACATGTATATTGAAAGAAAAATATTTATAGCGCTCTTTTAAACGTGAGTCAACATACGACTGGACACAGTATAATACCTTAGTCATGAAAGTACGTGGAGATGGCCGTAACTACCTAATTAATCTTCATACTGAAGGATACTTCGACCTGCAATGGAATGATGTATATCATTTTGTACTATTTACTCGCGGTGGCCCACATTGGCAAATCGTGAAGGTGATGAAAACGGATCATACTATTTTCCATATGTATATACATGGTTTACAATATCATTACAGATTCCTTTTTCAAAGTTCTTCCTATCTTCAAAAGGTCGCATTCAGGACAAGCAAGGTCCGATTCGTTTAGATCGTGTCACGCACTTTGGGCTCTCGGTAGGAGCGAAAAACAACATGGATGGTCCCTTCAAATTAGAAATGGAATATATTGGGTTAGAATTCGACCCGAATCGTCGTGAAGAATTTGCCTATGAAATGTACAAAACCGATAAATACATCGTTGCGACTTAAGGAGATAAGAGTGTTTAATATTAGGAAGCATATAAAATGTTACTATCTAATTTATATAGAAAAATTTAATTTACGAGTTAACTTGGTTATTCGAGGTAGCCACTTTAATGAAATATATGTATTTTATTAAAAACTTGAATCCACAATTTATTTATGTGTTTACGAAAGTTTATACACTCCTTAATGGCACCTAAATTTGATACCCCTCGTAGCAACCCTGCCTTTTTGTTTACATTTCAAATTTTTGCATCACATCAAAATTCTTATTTATTTTTGTTTTAAATTTTTTTCGCCGTTTTGCTTTCACTCTCTGCAAAGGAACGATAAATATTTGCGCAACATTACAAACATAAGCGATTTAGTTGTTCCGTGGCAAGTGTCGATTTGAGCTGGCTGTTACTGTTTGTGATAAAGTACAGACCACGTGAACGTTTGACGACGCGACTCGATCTGTGGGAGAAGACACCATGGTGAGTATACTCGCAGTCATATACCTACAGGTTATACAGCTGGGACTTCGCGTAACAGGTGCTCCTTAGGCAAGTGATGGAAGCATGTAGAGTTTAAGCTATTGCCATGAAATGTGTTTACGCAAACCTTGAAAACTATTTATAAACGACATGTTAACGGCTTTGGAATGTTGAAGGCGGTTTTGAAATCAATAAAGTTAGCTAATAGCTGTGCAGGTGGGGGCCTTTGTGCGCGGCCTTTGCTTTCCACAGTTTTGTTGGCGTATTTCAACGTTAAATTACAAAACTACTTTAAACTGGCTGCATTGAGTATCAAATTTTAGACCAGTTTTAAGAATAAAAAAATTGGCAGTGTCCACACACACGCGCCACGGTAATTTTTACGGTAGATCCTGCTAAAAATTACCGTAGATCCACAGTAAAATTACCGTAGATCCTCGGTAAAAATTGCCGTTACCGTTGCGCGTGTAAGTAGATACTCCCAAAAAAATTGGTTACGTATAATTCTTGCTTTAGTAGATTTTAATGAAAGCAGTATGTATTACTTTACATCAAACAATTAAGAAATTCACCATGTACACACTATGCTTGAACATATAAATCCGTAAATAAACTAAACAATTTTGGATAATTTAGTAACCATTTTTTTTGTATGTTTGGCTATTGGGATTACCAAAACTGCTTTCTTAATTTTTATTAACACATCTTATTACATACGTAGAAAGTAAGTGTGTGCACGTATGTATTCAACAATCCTATTATCAAGAAGATAGAACATTCAAATTGGCTACTATCCATACAACAAGCACATACATATGGATATGTACAATACATTATAATAGACCCGAGCTGGTTTTATCTCCTACATTGTTTCCTGCTCAAGAATATTATCTTTAACAATGAAAACCGGTTGCATTTCTGAAAGAAACTAGTACAGATAATGAAAAATCGGCTGCTCAACCGAAAGGCATGCTGGAGAATAGCTAAGTTTAGTCTAAACGCATATGGGCAGATAAAAGTTAAATGTATGTATGTCGTTTCATTAAAACAGAGAGGGGAAATCAAACCTGATTTCCATCTCAACTAAGGCAAAGACTACGGCACGCTGTTAAAGCCAGCTTCGAATTCATAAACTGCCGACATTCGATGGCGAGATTGTCAACTAAAGCATATCATTCTTCTTTCACCCATTGCTGCGTTGGCAGCATCAGATTGTTTCAAAAAGAAAAGAAAAAAACATAAAAACAATCAGCTATCAAGAAGACATCAGCTTTAAAAGTTTTGCGGAAGCTGTTTTAAACGAGTTTGATAGACAATGGTGCGCTGCTCAGAGGTACGAGTAAATATCAAGGGAATGCTTAAAATAAAAGTTAATTTAAAACATAATAAATCTAGAAAACTACAAATTAAGGTACAAGTGAAACATGCATATTTATTAAAAGCAAAACCGTTCTTCAAAAGTTGTAGAAAAAATTACAGAAAATGTTTACATACGCATAAAAAGGAGTATACATACATACATGTACATGTGTAAGCAGGGCCAAAACTTTAAAGCCACCTGTCCTCTTTTGTAAGGTAATATTGAATTCATTAAGATAAAACACTACAGATAAAGCTAAAGAGAATACAGATAGTGTGGAACCTGCTACATCGACTATACACTTTTATATGTATTCATATGCGCGTAACCTTGAAACCAAATATATAAATATAAACTTGATTAAATAGCAGTTAAATAAGGTATCTTTTTGCAGGAAGAGACTTACCTCTATGATCCCAACATTTTGCTGCAATTGAACTTCCATCAAAGTCCGGCCAAATTTGAGCCATTCATTTCGGCAGCATATCCCGGCGAAAACTGGCTTAAGGTGCGTCCACTAAAAGACGGGGATTATGACCGTGGATTTCTACAATTGCTTTCGCAACTTACCGATGTGGGACATGTCACACGGACGCAGTTTTTGAGTATGTTAACTCGTGTTTAGCAATATTTTTTGATTAATATTTTGAGTTTTTTCTAGCTCGTTTCTCACAGATGAAGGCCAGTGGCGATTATTACGTCACTGTAATCGAAGATACGCGCAAAAATGAAATAATCGGTGCAGCTTCCTTGGTTGTTGAACGAAAATTCATACATAATTGTGCCATTGTAAGTTGATAGCTGAAATTAGGTATCGCAATGCTTGATTATTTGTCAACTTCTCGATTTGCAGCGCGGCCGTCTTGAGGATGTGGTTGTCAATGATACATATCGTGGCAAACAGCTAGGCAAACTGTGAGTTTTAGCAAATTCATGTACTTACTTCTAACATTTAAGGAATTTTGCTTGGTTTTCTCATTTTGCGATTTAGTATTGTGGTAACTGTCAGCTTGTTGGCTCAGCATCTCGGCTGCTATAAAATGTCACTAGATTGCAAGGATAAACTAATTAAATTCTACGAGTCTCTGGGCTATGTACTCATTCCTGGAAACTCGAATTCAATGACAATACGATACGATGAGGGACCTGAGGCAGTGCGGCACAATAACACAGCACTTGTTGATAACGACATCAACAACACCAGCCAAACTGTGAGCCTCGATTTTGCTTCTTGACAATTAGCCACCAGTACCGCCATTAAATCGAAACTATAAATGTATGCAACGTTGATTAATTGCAAAAGGAACAAATGTGCTGTATATAAAAAGTTTATGTTTTTCACAAGCTTATATTCGAATTTTTGTTCTTTTTAGGTTGCAAGCATTTTAAATTTCGGTTGAATTACAAAACGCTCGCGGCTGAAGGCAATTATTTCACACGTTAACAAACTGCGAATAATTCCCTTGTGCGTTTTGTGGGCGGTGCTGGTAGGTGGTGCCTTGTACTGATGTTTTTATACATTTCGTTTCATATAAAGACAGCGGCATCAGGCAAGACATACAATAGAAAAGTACTTATTTTTATTTATCTTCATTTAAATTCTTATTACGTCTAATTGTTCATGCATACAATGCAAATATGTATGTGTTTAGTTTAACCGTTTGATTTGATTTTGATTTTTTTCTTGCAAACGCGGCTGGCACAAAAAGGTAGTAGTAATTTTGCCCTTTAAAAGTACGTTTATAAAATAGCTAACTGTAAATGCAAATAGCTAAACATTTTAATTTTGCTGCTGTTGAAATATTCTTATGTATCTAAGTAGATGCATATTAAAATGTATTTTACATACTTTAAGTAAGTTGGTGTGTATTATTTAACCTTGCTTTTGGTGAAAAACTTGTAAGTACCTGCGCTAGCGACATTTTCTAACTTAAACATACATATGTACTTACTACTAATCTCTTACCGGAACACACTAATTATATTCGCATAGGTGACCGCATTTGGGACATTTAAAATGATTGGCGAAATAATCCATAATATGTTCCAAATGGCCACCATGTGAGCAGCCTTGACACCAGGCATAAAGGCCACGCACGATCAGACCACAAACACTGCACTTGGATGACTGCATGGACTTGCATTTTTGGCAGAACCAGCCTACGCTGCCGCCTAACGGACGCCCGCACTCACTACAATTCGTGTGCACAGAAGTGGATTGTTGATTCAACTCTCGTACCGAGCGCAACCACGACAGATTAACAACTTTGCATGCCTCATTCCACAGTTGATAGCGATGCAACTGATCAATGTATGTTTGGAACCACATTTCCTGAAATTTGCGGATATGCGTTTGCATTATTTAAACACAGGTACGACTTCAATATACTACATACAATAAGTACGTCATCGATTTGAAGTAGTTTACGCGCCTCACCCATGGCGATAAGTATAGAAATGGCAGATTGTACGTCACCAACATCGCCTTGCAGCATAATTGATTCGGCAACGAATTGATGGGGCTCCCAAATAGGAATGGCAGGCGCATTTGAAAGCTTTAGAACACTTGGCATGTTGGGTGGCTGCGAGTAAATCGAGAATAAGGAATTATTAAACCGCAACTTATACATAAAAAATCGGACTAGATTAGATTTTGATTAAATTTTAAGACGCATACCGGGGAAGTCTCCTTGCATTCGGCCTTTAAATCCAATTGAGGGCGTGCCGCCTGCACGTCATGATGTAGTGGTGTTTCTTGGTGCGATTGCATTTTGGAGAAGTCTGGTGGTCCTACATATATAAAGCCCTCACGTAGCAGCTCAAAGTTATCAAACGTTATTTCGTTAAGTATTTGCGTTTCGGAGAGTATCACAGAACCAAAAGGTGGGTAGTTTTGTTTACCGCTTCCCACACCTACACCAACAACACCGCTAGACGAATCAATTTCCAGTTGGACGACCGTGTCTACAGCGTCATCATTGTTGTTGTTGTCATTGTGCTCATTACGGTCCCATTGCAGTACTTCGTGTGCGTTAGCTATTTGTGTGGGACGGCGTGAAGATTGCACACTTTTCTGATTTGAGAATGAGTTGCGGTGTATCTCATACTTCTGCTTGCTGAATTCGTTACTGCCATATAAAACTTTGATGAAATTCCACAAAGTGGTTGCCTACAGAAAGAGTAATTTTTACAAGTTTTTTTTACGGGGGAAAGTTTTAATAAATACTTATAGAAAAATTAAACAAAATGCTTACATTATGTTTGCCATATTTTTTTGTAACACTACTATTATGTTCGCATATATCTGATAACTTTCTACTACTCAAAATAAGTTCCTTTGCACAACCAATGAAGCACTCGTGTTCCTTCAAGTGTGTAATTTCCTCTTTTGCCGAGTAGCCAGTATACTGAAGTGAAGTAAGCAAGTGGAGAGATCAAATGCACATAAGTACGCTTACATACCTATAGTAGTTAATAGCTTAATTTAAATATATTTACCGATGGCTTTAGAATAAACTGGCACACATCCGACTGTGCTAAATGAAATTGCTCTTCTGAGTTGCTGGATCTTTGCCGACTGCCATGAGTACCAAATGAAGAGCATTTAAACATTTTTGAGTTCTTATACCTTCGAAATGGGGTAAAAGATGGAACTTACGTTATAGAGTTCATTTTAGAACCATGCGTGATTGGCTCTGTTTGCGATGCTTTGATTTTCCGCGCAAATGATATATCTCCGCGATATCCTAAACTGGCACCTTGTGCGTTTGCTTTTAGTGCAGGGCGCGCTGCGTCTTTAAATGCGTGCCTATAAATAGTTGAATCTTTGCTGGTCGAGAGTAGGAGCTGAGAGTTATCACCCTTCCAAGCGATGCCTGTGGTAACATTTGTGTGATCATTGAATGAGGCAAATGGTATATAGGGTCGTCGGATGTCCCAGATATGTATGCTGTAATCAACTACCAGTGCACAGCTTGCTATATGATAGCTGAATGTATGACGATAAGAAAAAAAGTATTGTAGAAAAACGATCAATAGGAAACCAAGACCATGTTTTTACTCACGTTCGGTCAGGACGCCATTTAACTCGGCCCACCACGGCAATCGTATGTATTGTATGCTCTAGGGAAGCCTTGCCATCCATATTCCAAACCTGCATTAATATACAGGAAACAAATTAGAAACTATTTGAAATAAATTCTTATCAAGCGTTTACTTTGATTTGTTTATCGCGGCTGCCGGTGGCCAGCCAGTTTTTGGTCGGGTGCCAGTCACACGTATAAATTGGCCCACTATGCGCAGTAAATTGTAAAATACTTTTGTCCCCTCTGTAAATAATAATACAATAAATATTAATAGTCCAAATGAAGTATTTATCATAGTTTATACTTTCGCAGGTCCCACAACTGCACCGTGCCATTCTCCGAAACCGCTGAAATAACATATTGTGTATGTGGACTGAATTTAACATCACGCACCGATTCTGAATTACTATAGTAAGTATACGATGACTTGTCGTTGCGAATATCGAATTGTTTAATAGTACCATCTTGCGAACCAGAAACAAGTATGTGAGGATCGTGTATGTCGAAGGCAACTGTGTGTGCTGTGCGTTCGTGCTCATTATAAACATGAAGTTGTTTCTTCTGGCCAAAACGACTTAGATCCCATACAGAAACAACGCCGTTCGTCGCAGCCGTGGCCAATATATTACTATCCAACGAACTCCATGCCACATCGTTGGACGAGTAGCTGAGATTTTGATTTTTGCCACCACGCATATTGCAAACTTCCGTAAAGCCATCGCTATAAATGGCGAATACCTTTAAAACTAGTTAAACAAACATACTCTTAATAAGGATTTTAAACCAGAAAAAAGGTCCTTTTTACTTACGACTTCTGCCCGCAACAGCTATTTGATTGCATTCTCTATTAAGAGCAAGGGCATTTGCATGTCCCTCTTGGCAAATACGCATCGATATAGTGCTAGCATCCTCGACCACGCGATCCCGCGAGTCCTGAAATTTCTGCATTTTTACTGAATATAATCCTTTCTGGGACTTTCTCAAGACGATAAATAAACTGATAAGAATAAATAAATAAAATGAATGAAACAAAACAGATGTTTCTTATCAGCTGCAGATTCGTATTCTCCAGCAAAAAAAAAACTACTCAATAAAGTAGCTGTTAGACGTGGCAAGTGGAAGTAGTTTTGAAAAGTGGCACATCGAAAAATATCCGAAAGCTGCTTTTCAAAGTAAAGGTGCGGTTAAATGTGGCAATATATGAGCTTTTGCTACGCGTTTCGCTTCCAAATGCCAAATCGAAAGTTTACTTTGCCGTGTAAACAGCGAGAAATTACTTTTTGTGGATTTGCGGAAATCACTTTCGAAAATAAAAATTGTATGGTGTAACTGCAACCAAAAATTATGCAAATCGCTTTCAAAAAATAATTTCAACTTAAAAAATTCCATATCAAATGACGAGCATAAAATGGCTAAGAAATTTTCTTGAGTCAAATTTCCTTTTGAACCAGTACGCAGTTCTTAAGGAATTTGGTACGCTTTCTACTACGGGTTTCTAAAGTTTCTTGTGAAAAAAAGCACAAGGCAACCCATTTTTGCAACAGAAATATATGCCCGTTCCATTATTTCTTGAGGAAAGTGTGAGGCAACAGGCAATTTTTTCTTGACCGTTTTCTTGAGAGCTGCATACAGGGCATACACATGATAATAACCTTGAATCACTCATAAAAAATTTTAGCATGCACTCATTCACGCCGCTGGAAAAGAAAGTCTCGTGTCTGGGTAACAAAAGGACAGAATCTCATAAATCAGAACAACAATAGGAGCGTTCCTTATCTCCCAGAAATAGTCAGAAAAAGTCCGAAGTAGTCAGATTTAGTCCAAAAAGCGTTCCTTAACTCGGAAATGACAGCAAAAATGAGAGAGCAACACACAGTGAGAGTGACTCTTATTAGTCCGAAGTAGTCAGATTTAGTCAATAGGAAACAGCCTTTCCTGGAAATGCTGCGAAATCTGCAAATCTTAGAGTACGGGAACAGAACAATAAATCCGATGTTCAAGTTCTAAAAGTGCGACGGCTTAGTAAAAACGAGTATATTGCAACTTGAAAGTAAATTCTCGATCGTATAACGTCCAGCTTAGGCAAATTTCAACGCTGTCAATCGCGAATGGGTGAATTTTTCTGGAATGCACTACCGGAAATCATTTCATTGCACTACCGGAAGTACAGAGTGGAACTATTTTGACGTTTCTCTTCAGAAAGCTTTCTCAACAGATAACTATGAAAAAGAAAGTAGAACTGGGATACTATCGATAGTACCGCTACTCGATAGGTTTCGAAACGATAGTTGAAAACATCGATAGTATCGATAGTACTATCGTCGTGAGAGGTATTTGAATTTAAATGCTAAATTGCTTGAAAATTAAATAATTAATAAATTTATAAAATTTATAAATTACTTTGTAAATTAAAGAGATTATATAGAATTGTTTAAATTTGAGTGCATCAAAAAGAACTTTTTATAATAATAAAATAATCTTATTGATTTATGCGTCTGAATTATATATACTTATGTACATACACTTGCATCCACTTGAACAGCGACAGGCAAAATCTGAATTTATTTTTTATTTGGAAAAATTAAATTCGAATTTTGTTTGTCCGTTTTGAAGTGCGCAGAAGAGAAATTGGCTATAATAATACATTTGTAATACTACAAAACAAACAAAACAAAAGATATTCGTTTAAATTGACAACTCATACTTATACAAGTTCAACTGAGATCAAATACGGAGGCGCACCTCAAAATCCGGATAAAGAACATTTTACTATATTATAGGAAAACGAAAAAAGTACTGGTCAAAATAATAGCACCACAAATTTTTAGCAGTTTTAACAATTTTTTTGTTTGTTAGTGTCTACTAATTTCTTATAAAACTTGTACAAAACATAAAAAACTACAAAATCATTAAAATTTCAAGCTTTTTAATTCGAATTTCTATACAAATTTTGTGAAAGTGGTTTTATTGCTCATTAGATTTTACTATAACTCAGTGTAAGCTGATAGTTGGTAAAAATTTCAATAACAAAAAATTTTTTTTGCCGACTGTATTGTTAATTTTCTATTATAAAAAGATATTAATGTAATTTTAAGAGATGTAAAGAAGAAAGAAGTTTCGCTAAAAACGACATCGATAGTTTTCAAAAACTATCGATAGAGGCGACAGTTTTCAGCTATCGATACTATCGATAGTATCCCAGCTCTAGAAGAAAGAAGATTAAAACGAAATTAAAATCATATCGCTACGTCAGGGGAAAAGTTAAAAATCGGTTAAAAGTGCTTAAAGTTCTCAAAATATAGCCAATGACTAGTTAAAGATTATAAGAAAAACCCATATCCAATAATAGGAGTTATTGGGAAACTAAAAATATTTGGTAAAGTTTTTAATAGTGAAAAATTGTTGTTGATACTACTGGAATTGTGTGTAGAACGAAAGCAGAGCGTGAGGATAGCAAAATAAGTCGCTGGAGGAGGAGTTTAAAGAGTGAAAAGTGAAAGGGAAATTGTTGGACATCCTTCATTAAACCACACTGGAAAAGTGTTGGTGGGGTGGTACGCTTCTGGGTTAATGTTAAGACGTGCGGGGTAGTAAAACGGATAATAAAAATTTTCAGGCGATTTTGCAGACAGCTGGCACACCAAATTTGATATAAACTGTGAATAATTTGCATGAAATACCACTTGTAAATAATTAAATAATTTACAAGCTGCTCGGACTTTTACGTGCTTTTCCTGAATTCCCCATTTTTTGTGTGACACACTGTGCCCGACAACATCAACAAAATATTCAGCCGTCGATCGAAAATGTGGTCGTTCTTCTCGCGCGACTCAACCAAAGACTTTCCTTATGACATTGGCGAACAGGTGCCCGGCTTTGAATCACGCTCGATTTGGACATTACACAAAGCGAAACGCAAGGGCACACAGGAGGAAGTCTCGGTATTTGTATATGATATACGAAGTGGTTCGGATGCTAAATGTGAGTTGGCAAAAGCAGCTTTGAAGCGGCTAAAGACGTTGCGACACCCGAGTATTCTTCAGTACCTGGATTCGTTGGAAACTGAAAAAACCTTATATGTGGCAACCGAAGCGGTTGAACCATTGGGCACACATATTGATAAGTTGGCTTCTGATGGTCCCCAAAAAGACCTATATCTTGCTTGGGGTGTTTTTCAAATAACAGTAAGTATTTTTTTTTTTTTTTGTAAATTCATGTAGGAACCAAAGTTTAAAACAATACATTCATAATACGGTTTTTTTCACAGCGTGCACTTTCTTTCCTGAACAATGATGGTAATCTCAGACATAACAATGTGTGCGTATGGTCTGTGTTTGTTAACTCGTCTGGCGAATGGAAACTAGGCAGTCTGGAATACGTATCACCAGCGGACGGAAATCCCATGCCTCCACTTAAAGTGCCACCTGCATTGGAAGTGTACGATCCCCCAGAGAAAAACGATCAGAGCAAACTGAAAGCAGCTACAAAATGGTATACTATCTAATATAAAAGCATACTTATCATATTTATGTATCTATGTTTATCTTATTAACTTTTTAGTTCCGTTGATATGTGGGGCTTAGGGTGCTTGGTGTGGGAGTCTTTCAATGGTCCATTGAAGATGCGTTCGAATCTTAAGGACATTGATAATATACCGAAATCATTGCAATCTCTCTATTGCGAATTAGTAGGCGCATCACCTTCAAATCGACCTAATCCAGCGGATATCATCACCAGGTGCCGCAAACCGGGTGGTTTCTTTAAAAATGACCTGGTCGATACGCTGTTGTTTCTTGAAGAGATACAAATCAAAGACAAGGCCGAGAAAAATCGATTTTTTAGTGGTCTAACTTTACATTTGGATAGTTTTCCTGAAAACGTCTGCAAGTAAGTGTAACTAAAGAAATATACGATTTCTAATAGCTTAATTTATATGTTTACTGACTTTTCAAGGCATAAAATTCTTCCGCAACTAATTACCGCGTATGAGTATGGTGATGCAGGCTCGGCTGTGCTGGCGCCCATGTTTAAGTTAGGCAAACTGTTGGACGAAGCGGAATACCAAAAACGCATAGTACCGTGTGTCGTGAAACTCTTCGCTTCGACAGATCGTGTGACGCGTTCGCGCCTACTGCAGCAATTAGATTTATTTATTGCACACTTACAACCGCAGGTGGTAAATGATCAGATCTTTCCTCAAGTGTCACACGGCTTCTTGGATACCAACGCCACTATACGTGAGCAAACGGTCAAGGTAAGTCATTTGTATATGAAAATGTTTTATCACGAAACTTTAAATCTTAACAAATGTGTAATATATTTTATCCTTAGTCCATTATTCACTTGGCGCCTAAGTTGAGCTACAACAATCTGAACGTCGAGGTGTTGCGGCATTTTGCACGATTACAGGCTCGTGACGAACATGGTGGTATACGCACCAACACAACAGTGTGTTTGGGGAAAATAGCGCCTCACTTGCATCCACAAGTGCGACAGCGCGTGCTGGTCTCCGCTTTCATACGTGCGATGCGTGATCCTTTTCCGCCGGCACGTATTGCCGGTGTACTCGCGTTGGCTGCGACACAACAGTACTTCCTGCTGAGGTAGGGTGCTAAAATTAATTGTTGAAAGACTAAAAATTTATCAAATTATGGATTATATTTAAATTACTTAGTGAAGTGGCAAACCGAGTCCTCCCATCTCTGTGTTCGCTGACCGTTGATCCAGAGAAGACAGTGCGGGATCCAGCTTTCAAAACGATACGTGGTTTTTTGGGCAAATTAGAGAAAGTATCCGAAGATCCGAGTCTGCGTGAGACAATGGGTTAGTAAAAGTAAAAATATTAGGTAAAATGCTTAAACTAAAATTATATTTGGTTTTGTTGTTTAGAAGCTGATGTACACACCGCTACACCGTCGATCGGCAACGCAGCTGCCACGTGGGCGGGTTGGGCCGTAACTGCAGTCACAGCGAAATTCTATCGCAGTCAAA